GTTGACATCTGCTATCTTCCTCTCTCTTCCTGGACCATGCCCTTGAAGGCAATTCATACCTTGGAAAAGTTAGTTCTTTGGACTACAGATCCAAGATTTCTCAGCCATCATGTCCAGTGTAGTTCAAAATAGTACTGGGCAAAAACACATTGGCAAAAAAAATGAGAAGGTGTGTGTCATAAATGCACACATGCACACATGCACACTTACCTTTGAGCCTCACACATGGTTACTGAACATGCTCAGTTTTGTGTATTATTATCCGCCCAACACCTTTGGCTGTGGAGTATTTGAACAGTCTCTATGAATTAATAAGATTATACTCAATAAGCTATCACAGCCATTGATCAAATAAATCAATGAAATGGGTCATTTCTTAAGGGGGAGGTTTTTTAAAAAAAATGGATTATTGGATGCATATTTTAATTGTACTAGGTTGAACAACAACAATAAGAAAGGAAAAGTCTGTACAATGAAGGGCTAAAAAGGGGGAAAAATCTGAGGATTCCATAAACTGTTAATGTTTTGACACAAACTGTTTTCTGATGCAGTGGATAGCAAAAGATTGCATAAAATCTGAGGGAATGTGGCTAAAGTGGCATCAAACAGTTTGGAATAAACATTACCTGTGGCAGAGATCATGATGGGACTTCATAAGCTTGTCATGCAAGGAGGGAGAAATGACTATTTCTAGGATTAAAAAGATGGCTTCAGGTCAGGGGAAGTCAACACCAGTCCATCTTTGCAAAGTTATTTCATTGCAAATCATATTCCTTGTTAATCTGATGTGGCTGTGGCCAGTAAACCTTGCTTTCTAGCTGCCGTTTGTAGAAGGCAAAAGTTGCTAGGTCTCAGGTTTTGGCCTAGAAACCTCAATTCCTGAGTCAATCCTTAACAGGCAAACCTAGTGTCTCTACAACAAACTATCTGATATCTGCCAACTATTAACACAAACACAGACACAGTATTTGTTATTTTATTGTAATTTTAATTTTTAATAGTTAATAATAATTTTGAAATTTTATTGCAATGTTAATAATTCAATTGTATTAATTACTGCTGCTGTGTTTTTGTCTTTGTTACTTTTATTTGTTGAGTTTTACTGTTATGTTTTAGCTTGTTGTAATTTTTACCTTTGTACTCCCACCTCGATCCGCAGGGAGAGACAGGATATATAAATAAACCATATTATTATTATTATTATTATTATTATTATTATTATTATTATTATTATTATTATCTAGGAATTATGATTTTGTGAAAATGTTCACAGCAATTTGTTTGTTCTCTCTCATCCATGGAGCTATAATTTCATGGCCCTTCAATGAGAAATGTAGCTGTTAACCTAGTGGTGCCACTAGGACTGGACTTGGTGGGAGATATCCATAGGTATAGCCACACTGCATAGTTATAACCTATGGCACTCTGATACTACTTTAATTGCCATGCCTTCCATCCTAGGGAATCCAGGGATTTGTAGTTCCATGAAGTATATAGACATCTCTAAATCAAAGCCTAAAATTACCCAACTCTGTCACTTAAGAGCTTATCGCACCGCTAAATAAAACATCTCACCTCTCCCAAATTCAATTTTAATTTGGGTGGCATCCAGATACTGTTGCAGGGATTTTGCCACTGAATCCACCACCCGGATCCAGCCCAGGTCCAGCCCTGGTCCCAGGAGTGCTCTGGCAGCCATTTTTTTTAAGTCGGAAAACTCCCGGTTTTGAAAAGAGGCATGCTGAGCGCTCCTGGGACCCGGGTTTGACCCAGGCTCGACCCGGTGGCAGATTCGGCAGCAAAATCCTTGTGATAGTATCCAGATGCTGCCTGAATTAAAATTGAATTCCAGAGATGTAAGACGTTTTATTTTAGCGGTGCGATAAGCTCCTTAGTTAAACCATTTTGGATTTAAATGTATAAAGTAGATCTGTCCAGAACTATCTCAGGACTAGTTGCCTGTTTCCATTTAATTTGGATTTTCTTCCCAATATTGACTAAAGGCCTAAATCCATTGCTAATCCCAAACAGTAGACTCACTGAATCAATTGCTGAATGGCAAATTGAGAAATATGTAGATTCTGATTTGGTGATTCTAATCTTTGGGACATGCAACAATGCTCAATACTTAAAGAGTTAAAGATGTCGTAGAGGTCATTCACACGTTGTTGTTTTTAGCGTGACTATGTGAATAATCTCACTCACACATTATGGTTTTGTTATCCACACTATGGAACCACATCTAACCACATCTCTGTGAGTTTGGTTGCTCATATATGTCAGCACTCAAAATAAAAATAGAGTTGAATGATGCAGATGTATTTGAAGCGTGTCCAAGGCATGCAGAGCTTTATCCCAGTTTATCCTGGGTCTACGGTGGTTCCATCACATTCGCTGGAGTTAGGGGTGAAGGACCCCCATGAATGTGGTAAAACCACAAATAAAAAAACACTGTTCTTTTTTCCTAAGAGAACACCTCTCTAGGAATCTCCAGGTCCTCCATTGCAACTC